GCGGGTTCGCCGGTTGGCCCCCTGCAGCCTCCGTGTCTGTCACTTTGACCCCGACCCGCTGGGTGCAAAGGCCGCGGGGTGTCCCGGCAGAACCCGCCCATCGAAAGTCCCCTAAACCTCGCTGCGGAGCTGTGCCCTGGGCCAGACCGCGTCCCTGCATGGGGGGCCGGTGCGCTGGCTGCTGGGCGAGCCTCCCCGCCGCTGGAGCTGGGGAAGCAGGACCTCCCTGGATGGGAGCATCCCTGATGAGTCTGCCCCAGCGCCATCAAAGCCAGACAAGAGCCCTGGTCCGTGGACCCATCGAAAGTCCCCTAAACCTCGCTGCGGAGCTGTGCCCTGGGCCAGACCGCGTCCCTGCATGGGGGGCCGGTGCGCTGGCTGCTGGGCGAGCCTCCCCGCCGCTGGAGCTGGGGAAGCAGGACCTCCCTGGATGGGAGCATCCCTGATGAGTCTGCCCCAGCGCCATCAAAGCCAGACAAGAGCCCTGGTCCGTGGAAGTCGGTGGGAAGTGACTAGACACATTGCACACACTTTGTCAGGGTCAATCCCCAAACTGAAAATCTGGCCATAGGGGTGTGTGGACCTGAACCTTAAACGAAAAGGAATGTGTGTGTTAACCTATCTGGGTTTGAGTTTTTTGGGTTCCTTCTCATTTTCTAAGTGAATTAAATATTGGTGGTAGAGTGCTGGATTGAGAGTCTTGGGCTGGGTTTATCAACATAATTCAGTAAAATGGCAGTGACAATCCAAGTTGCTGCTCGCAATCCTCCAGGTATCTGTCCACTCTATTTTGGAAGGGTCATCTTAATAGGCTGAGAGTTTCGTTCAGTTTCTGTGTTTGAATCAGTCCTTGACTTCTGCTGAGACTGTCAACTAGAGTTAGTGGCTTTTTTATGTGTGATGTGTACACAGGATCATGAGGTACTGGTTTGAGTAATTACCTGCAGAACAGCCATCCTGTGGAAGTGGCTTTATTACTACTTTCCAGGATTATAATGGGCTTAGTGAGTTAAAAATTCTGTACTTAGTACCAGTTGAGAGACAAGGTGGGTGAAGTAATATTATTTGTTGGACCAGCTTCTGTTGGTGAAAGAGACAACTTTTCAAACCACACAGAACTCTTCAGGATCTGAGGAAGACCTCTGTGCAGCTCAAAAGGTCGTTAACTTAGTTTCATCAATGGTCCAATAAAAGATATTACTGTACCTCACCCAGTTTGTCTCTCCAATCACTTGGGGCCAACAGCTATAACAATGTCAGACAACTATAATTAGTTGAATCATCTATTCTACCCAAGAAAGATTTAGTTTGAATTTGTCTTTAAAAAGTTAGTTTAAATCCATAAATCTTAAAAAAATCAAAATGCCAATGTACTGTTGTTCCACTTCTAATATAAATAATATAGCTACTGACAGCATAGAACAGGGTGGGCAATAATGCCAGACTTTTCATTTTCCTGCATGTCTGCAGGCATAGTTGCTTGCAGGTCCCATTGGCCACGGTTTGTTGTTCCCAGCCAATGGGAGCTGCCTGAAATGGCAGCCCAGCCCACACCACTTCCTACAGCCCCCAATGGCCGGGAATGGCAAACTGACCAACAGGAGCTGTGAGCCGCTCTGCCTGCAGAGGTGCAGGTAAATTGTCTGGTGGACAGCCAGGTCTGGTGAACTTCAGCTGGTGAACTGCATCCACCCCTAGAATAGTTAATTGTAATTGTGGTGTCAGTCTTTTAAAATACATATTTACAGAATCTAGGGCACAGTGAAATATAGGTTGAACCTCTGTGATCCAGGATTCTCCGGTCCAGCAACATCTGCAGTCTGGCAAGACCACAGATGTTGTGGGACTGGAGAGCCTTAGTGGCTAAGGTTGCTGGCAGCTTGGAGTGGAGCCAGACAGTAGGACCAGTGGGCAGCAGAGCCTGAAGGGTGCCAAATCCCACAGCTAATGGGGTAATGGAGCCTGCAGCCGGCGGGGTTACTAGGAGCTTTGGCAGGACGGCAGAGCTACTGTAGATCTCAGTGTTAGGAGCTCTGGCAGGGCTTCAGCAGCTTGCAAAGCTGGGGAGAGGACCCCAGCTGGGAAGCTGGCGCCAGTAAGCTCAGGCTTATCTGTTCCCAAAATGGCTACATGAAGTTCCCAGTCTGGTTCCTGGGGACCTGCCATCCTGTGTGTAACCGCTGAAATTTTCAGCAGTTACACATTTTATGTATAGTTAACTGGCAGCGTGGCCTCCACTGGAGCAGCCCTACCCATGAGGGGCAGGCCTGCCCATCCCTGTTCAAGCGATTAACTGGTTAACCAGTTAAACATTATGTTTAACTGATTAAATGGGATTTTACATCCCTAACATAGTTAAACAATTACATGCATTTTAACATCCCTAATAAGGACTGTATATTTCAGCATAAAACTATGTATAAGCACTTTTCATTCAGCAACATTGTTCAATACACGGGCAGTAGAGAATGAGCTAAGGTCTGATTTTTGTCTGATAGTATTTGTTTTTTGCTTTTTATGTAACTAATTTGATCAATATTAGATACATGTTTTCTACAAAAATTGTGTCATTTGTTAATAGGTGAAAACTATATTGTCTGCTTAGATTAGTGATCTGAACATTTTGGTCAGTGGACATGTGTTGTGTATACATCTTATTTCTCTAGGACTGAACAAACTAAGAATGATCTGTTTGTTTGTTTGTTTGTTTGTTTGTTTGTTTTTGTAGGATGAATGAAATGAACCTGAGTTCGGTAGGGATGGACCAGCTGACCTCATCTTCTGTGAGCAATGCCCTGCCTGTCTCAGGAAGTCACTTGGGACTGACTGCATCACCCACTCATAATGCCATACCAGCACCAGGTAGCTTTGAAAGTTGCATGAAGGGCTGATATTTGTCACTTGCTATGTATTTGCATTTTCCTTGACAGCAGAAAACCAAAGTAGCATAACGTGTGAAGTGTTCACTGTTGGTAGTGACATCTGGGTTTGTCCTCTGAAGGATGGTGATATGATCACACACTTGAGTAGATTTGACATTTAATCTAGTGGCCGTAAGCCCACACTGTGGAGTAATGAGACACCTGAAAGTTGCTACTTGTGTAGACAAGGCAAGAACAGTGCTTTCTTTTGACAAGAGTGGATGTGTCCCACACAGCCTCAAGGGAGCTTCATTTTTGTTTAATAGGACATTAATGAGCTGCCTGTCTCTCTCTTTTTGTGCTGCATCCATCACTTTAGCGACTGAGTCCCTTGAAATATGAGCTGCCACTGAGAAATTTACCCCAGACGATGTAAATGACAGTCTTAGATTAAATAATACAATACACTTCTTTTCCTGACAAGTTTTGCAGAAAGCTGCACAGAAGTGTCCATTAAAAGTGATAATAGAGAATAAAGTGGTATAATAGAGAATTAAGTGGTATATAAAAATGCAGCCATAGGCAAGAAGAGGCCTAACTAGCTCTTAGCAGGACCGCAGTTTCTAGAAGGTTGATCTTCATTCTGGGGATAATCCACCTGTCTCAGCCGCTTGGGAAATAGAGCATGACCTTCCAGGATAGAACCTCCCCTCTGGGAACAGCATCAAGGCAAGGAGGGCCCAGCCAGGGCTCCATGACCTCAATAAATGCACAGTCCCAGGATCCCAGCAGTGTCAATAGACTACTTTTTACAATTTGAATTCAGGATAGTTTCTGTCTCCTGATCAGTCGTTTGCCCCAGCATCCTCATATTCCCTGTGATGTCAGTCTTATCTCCTGTGCGTTCCATACTCCTGCACATCCTTTTTTTCCTCTCTTCCCTCCCCCATTCCTTCTTTTTTTACCTTCTCCTTTATTTCCTCCATTCATTAGTCCCCTTCACCCCATACAAGCCCCATAATAAAATGAATAAACAAAGTTCTTTACTAAAGAAAATAATACATAATTTAAAGAAACTTGAAACAAAAAAGTTATTATTTTAATATTTTCTTAACCAAAAACTTTCAAAAATGTTAAATAGAAAAAGCTTTAACTGCTAACAACAAATACCAATATTAGCAAGTATTATGGTTGTATCTTAATAGATCAGTAAAAATTACCTGTTGTAAATTCACCAGAATATAAATGTGTGGTTACAGGGAAAAGGCAGGTGTAGAACATGCTTTATGAAATACTGAGTTCTGTTTATCTGTCAGATTGCTCCTGGTAACATTCTAAATATGTACATGAAAGCTGAGATCTTTCACTATAGTAAGTATGGAAAACCCCTACAGTGGGTAAGTTGTAAAATAGCATAGCAAAGTGTAGTTCTCAGTGTGGTTTTGACTGCAGAACTCAGATTCCAAGGATAGAAGGGAACATTGTGATACTCTAGTTTGATCTGTCTAACTCCGGTTTTAGAACCTCCCCAAAATAAATTCTAGAGAATATCTTTTAGAAAAACATCCAATCTTGATTTTTAAAATTGCCAGTGATGTCTCCACAATCCTTAGTAAAGTGCTGAAGTAGTTAATTCATTTCGCTATTAAAAATGTATGACTTACAGGTTGAACTTCTCTAGTCTGACTCCAAATGAGAGAATTTTTCGGACCATAGGAGGTCAGTATTGTCTAGCAGCTTTACCAACACTTCTATTGCTTACTGGGCTGTTAGCTCTAATTTACCCCTAAATGTCCTCTAAGTAACAGCACAGAACACTGAGAGCTAGGATGGTGGCTGTAAACAAACTTTATGGGACCACAGGAAATTTGGCCACACTCATGAAAAGTGGACATCCAGCTAACTAAAATCATTCCAGACGATGGATGTTTCTGGACCTGAGAGTTCTGGGCTAGAGCGGGTCAACCTTTTGCGTCTTGCTCAGTTTCCAGCCATTGGATAAGATTATACCTTTGTCAGCTATACTGAAGAGCCCATTATGAAATACAGGTTCTCAAGTTAATGTTAGGAATTTTGACTATATTCTTACACTGAACTAACCCCCTAAGACTGAAATTTAATGGGCATTTTCCTCTTGCAGGATTGCCTGTTGCTATTCCAAACTTGGGCCCCTCCTTGAGTTCCTTGCCCTCTGCCCTATCTCTGATGCTCCCAATGGGTATTGGGGATCGAGGAGTGATGTGTGGTATACCAGAAAGAAACTACACCCTACCTCCACCACCTTATCCTCACCTGGAGAGCAGCTATTTCAGACACATTCTACCTGGTAAGTATAGTTTTGAAGATGAGATAGGTGCTGTTACAGAACACTTGAAGAGTTGTGTACCATTTTTTTTCCTTCTGTGCCTTCTTAAGTCTGTGACAGAATACTCTGCATGGCATTTCTTGTGAAATATTCTCTGGGTTTTCCCTTTGAAGTTTAATATGTTGCATAACTGTATAAAATGCAGATAATTACCATATAATTTAATGCAGTTTCTGTTCCATTGGAGAGTTGGTGGGATTCTGGAAGTTGTCTGGAATATTTTCAGCCCTATTTTCTGCATGGAATGGGCATGGGACAAAGGGCCACTGCCCCAATCCTGAAAGCTGTGTCCCACTAATTCCCTTTAACAGTGTACTGAGGGGCTGTGCTTCTTATTTTGCTGAGGCTTCCCAGCTCCTCACAAGCCTCAGCCTGGTGACTATGTACTCTGCATAAAGCTGGCTTGCTCTGAACAGCCAGCTCAAGTGCTGGTTGCTTATCCCTATAGGGCACCGTTTGTAAGAAAGCAAAGCATACTTACACAGGCAGTCCCTGGGTTACGTACAAGATAAGGACTGTAGGTTTGTTCTTAAGTTGAATCTGTATGTAAGTCAGAACTGGCGTCCAGATTCAGCCGCTGCTGAAACTGATCAGTTTCAACAG